CTAACCCTTGGTGTCCCCCATCCAGACAGTGAGAGATGAGGTATAGCTAGACAAAGTGGAGCATGTGGCAGGCCCCAGGGGGCCCTCAAAGCCTGGAGACATGAGTTTCTCACACAATGGGACCACAGAGAAAGAAGACTGGGACCCAGCACATCTCTCCGGAGAGACAAATGGCCTAGCTCAGTGGTTAAAGGCAAAGTTCTTAAGTGAAGCAGATCAAAATCCTGGTCCCAGGGCTGCCCTTACCAGCTGAGTGTCTTTGCCAAAGTACTTAACCTCTCCTGACCTCAGATTTATCGTCTTTAAAATGGTGATACTTTTCCTTAGTAATTAGGTTATCTATGTGGATTAAATGATATAAGGCTTTGTCATCCAAAATGCGGCCCACGGAATCAAAACATCAGCATCCCCTGTAGCTAGTTGGAGATCTCGGGTTCCACTGGAGCTTTATTGTCAGAATCTGCATTTTAATCAGCTCCCACAAGCACTGGTAAATGCGTGTCAAGTGCACAAAGCAAGCACTTAGCACATGTTATTTTTACCTACCAGCCTCCCTATTTCTGTTCATCTCTTTTCCTCTTTAATTTGCTGTGCTTGTCCCCAATAAGGTGCTTAGGATTCCTGAACCATGTTGTGCAGAGCTGGCTATCAGTTGGGTTTTCAAATAGCTGCGGTGTTTTGGGTTGTTCAGAGCTTGTGAGGAATAATGATGTGTAGACAAATCAATCCCACTGACCATGACAGTGGGAGGACAACTTTTTTTTTTTTTTTTTTGCCCAAAGCAAATATTTAATAAATGATTCCTGAATTATTCAGTTTGTTTGCTGCTTTCGTAGTTATTCTTAGCACAGTGTTCTTTCTATTCCTTTTTAAAATTTTAATTTTAAAAATTAAAAAATAACTATAGTTAATATACAGCATTAAGTTAGTTTCAGGAGTACAATACAGTGATTCGACAATTCCATACATCACTCAGGGTCCACTGAGATAAGTAAGTGTACTCTGTATCCCTCTCATGTATTTCACCCATCCTCTCTGATAATCGTGTTTGTTTTCCATTGTTAAGAGTGGGGTTTTGTTTGTTGTTGTTGTTGTCTCTTTTCTTTCCTTTGTTTGTTTTGTTTCTTAAATTCCACATGTAAGTGAAATCCTATGGTATTTGTCTCTCTAACTGACTTATCTCACTTAGCATTATACTCTCTAGTTCCATCCATGTCCTTGCAAATGGCAGGATGTCATTCATTTAAATGAATGGAAACCTATGAGTCATTCCCGTCACAGTCCGCTCACTTCTCTGCTGATCTAATTCATTGTGCCATAGCATTGCCAAACCCCGCCCCCAGCACATCCCTAGGCCAACCCACCATTATCTCTTGCTTGCTGAACCATAACAGCCTCTTAACTGGTCTCCCCACATCCACCCTGGTGTCCTCAAATCTGCTCTCCACCTTACAAACAGAGACGCTTTTCTAAATCAAAGGTCTTGTTAAGTCCCTCCCCTATTTAAAATCCTTCTGAGCTTCCCATTACCTTTGGCATAGAAAGTAAAATCTTCAAGATGGCCTGCAAGGTCCTTCATGATTTGAGCAGGGTCTGCCTGGACAACCTCATCTGGCAGCTCCCGCCCCGCCCAGCTCCTGTGCTCTAGCTCTTCTTTTGGTTCTCAGATGTTGGCAACGTTCTTCCTAAGGCAGGGTTTTTTTGGGTGCATGCTTACTGCCTAGGACTAACTCTGCACCTTTAACGGGTGTGCAGCTCTTGGCTTACCTAACTCTCATAATATCCTGTCTTTTTTCTTGTCGTACGAAACCATAATGTGAATTGTAACAATCACAGGTCGTGATGAAATTTCTATTCATTCACTTAACATCAACCAGTCTGTAGACTCCAGAAGGGCAGAGATCATGTGTGTTTTGCTCAGACCGTGATAAATTCCTAATGCCTACAACAATGTCCAGGCTCTACAGGCTCTCCATGATTATTTACTTAATGAACAAATTAGTGAAATGCTTTTGGGAAAAGGGCAGGAGAGAGATCGAAGAAGTCTTCAGGAGACAAAGAGGAACTTCAATGAGAGAGCAATGCCCTCTTGCTGAAGAACACATCAGGAAACTAAAAGATCAGAGGGATTGACTTAAGACTGGAAAGTTGTAGATGAATAGGTCTCAGAAACAGAAGCCAGTAAGTAGTTCTCAACCCCAGGTGAATATTAGGATCACTCAAAGAGTTCTTAAAAATACCATTGACGGGGGGCCTCATCTTCACATATTCTGATTTATTAGAAACCAATATTGTTACCATCTTCCCATCTTGGTTAAAATCCACTGATCTAGTAAGAGGTAGGATCTATGCAAGGTCGAACAACTACTTCAGAGTTAGGATTAAAACCCAAGCCGCTCGACTCCTATACTTGGCGCCTTCTGCTCGTCTGGAAACCCAAGAGAACTAGCATTACAGTGTATGTCGTTCTGCCTAAACCAAGTAGACATTGAATGGAGGTAGGAAATTAACTCAATTAATTGAGTTCTTGGGAAACTCTGGAAATGCACAACTTTTATAGCTGAACAATGAGGCATCTTAGAGTGCAGTAACCCCCAAAGATATCTCGAAAACTGGACAGAGACATTCACTCCATCCTCATTTCTGTCTGCTTCTGTGTCATTTGCACCACCACATACAGACAGATGAGTTTTTCCTCTCAGTTTAACTGTCCTGAGAAGGTGATGCTGGGCTGCTCTCGTGGATCCCATGAGATCCACAGGGGAAATCCGTCAGTGACTGAGAGCCTTGCGTGCACAGATTTATTGTATAATTGGATAGTAATGTATTCATTTGTCTAAGATAAAGCTCCATGGACTAACCAACATGTCAACAATTACATTAATCAAATCAAGACATTATTGGTGCATTTTCATTTTTCTAAGACTCTTAAGTAATGGAAAGCAAAAAAAAAAAAAAAGAAAAGAAAGAGAGAGAGGGAAGGCTGGAGGGAGGGAGAGAGAGAACTTCCTATTATTAACAAGCCTGGTACATTGAGAAAGCAGGATCTTTCAGACCATGGTGATAAATTTAGGAGTCCCTGATATTATCCAGATGGGCTTACTAATGAGTAAGAGGACACAGATAAACCAGAAACCCATCAAGGAGGAACATGAAACAATAGGGACCTTCCATTGTTGGTCTTCGCTACCTGAACCCCTTACAGAAGCATTCTTAATCTCTGAGCCCCTCTCTCCCACCAAGAAAGGAACATTTCAAAGTTAAGAGTCTTCTATTTGGCCTAAAGAATCTATTATCTAGGTGGAAGACAAAAGGGTAAAGATGATAAGAGTGGGGAGGAAAGAAGAGGAAAGAAAAAAAGAGGGAGTGGGAGGTGTTCTCAGCTATAATTATGCTCCACTTAGTCCTGTGGTAAGGGGGGAGGGATCTTCTAACTAGAGACCATCTGGATCAAAGGAAGAGATTAGTCCTGTGCCAAAGAGAAAGGGGGCACATAGAGAAGACTCCAAGTAATCAATTGTTCAGCATCACATAACTCTTAGGCCAGAATGCTATCTACATTCTAAATCCAGAAAAATCCCCACGTAAGCCTGGAACTAAGGAGGACCGGGAAAACAAGACATCTGATAAATAGGGTCTAGAATGTTGGGAAAGCCCATCTGCCCTCAACTCATTCATGTGTATACGTTTTCCCCATTTCTAGTCCCTTGCCTACCCCACTGGGCCATGTCCTCAAAATCCTTATTTCCCCCTCTGTGGGTTCCATGTTGGGGCCAACCCTCATGCCCACTTTGAGATGCATGGGACACAACCTCCCCAGCTCATGGGTGCCCACTCTAACAAGGCAGCCCCACCACACTCAGGATAGTCCTCTCCAGGGAGCACAGTCGACTCGGTCAGAGACTGGCTCTGGATCCATGAGCACAATGAATATATACTGAGAAGTGGTTAAGAAGCAAGAGAGATGGAGTGTCTTGCCCTACTCTGGGGTTCGGTGAGGCTTTAGTCTGCTGCTTCTCTGTGCCTCCTACTAACCTGACTCAGAGTTTTTCTCGTTGACTGAGCAAATGGCTTATGTTCTCCTTCTGACCCAAATGATCCCTCTTCCTAGCTTAGGCTGCGTCATACCTGTGGCTGGCCCAGGCTGCATACAACATAAACCTCCAGTCACCTAGCTCTTACTTACCCGGAAAAATTCTTTCTTCCTCTGTCTTTTGCTTCCTGCCCATATATGTGCACACATTTTTGGCTATTTCAGGTCAGCAGGACAACAATTTTGGTTACCCATGAACAGGAAACCAATGCAATGCAGCCATACTTGCTGACTACATATGCTTGGGAGCACTCACTAGAATCTACTCATTCTGTTTCCCATGAAGGAGAGTTTGCTCCCTTCAACAGCCAACTCTCAGAGCTCCTCTAGACCTCTACTGAGCCATCCTCACCTCCCTGGGTCTCTGAAGGACACTACAGAATGGTAAGCCCACAGGTGTCAATGGAACCTCAAAAATTATTTACTGCAACCTGCTACTTAATCCAGGCACCCTCCTTCAGCAGATCAGGCAGGTGGTCAGACAGAGAACACATTATTGTCAACAACCTTATATTGACAGCATACAGAAGAGAACGTAGGCTAGGGGGGATGTCTGTGTTGCCCTCGCACACCAGAAATTGACTCAGAAATGTACCTGGAGCACAGTTTTCCTCCTTTAGAACAACAGACTTTGCAAATTATAAGAAGTTGACAAGTGTATGGTGTTTGTAATACCAAGTGTTCTTTCAGGGTTAGTGAGAAAAACTATGGCTCCTTGGACAAGTGCGCTTTTGCTTATTGGGTCACCTTTTTGGTCTCCTATCTCATGCCTAATTTGTGTCTGGGAGATCAGGAGCCTGCAGCTGCTGGAGCCCAGTGCATAGTGCCTTTCCCAGGTTCCCCTCTGCTCTCCAGCACCAGCATCCCCTGCTACCACTCCCTTCCATCCCCTTCGAAGAGGCATCACCTGCAGTAGTTTCTGTTGGAGGACGGTATTATCCCGGGGGTCTGTGCGGTTGCCCATGCGGAACTTGAGGGGGCGGTAGATGCAGCAGGTGGTGAAGCAGATCATATACAGGGTGTACAAGGCACCCAGAGTGTAGAAGTACCGCCGCCCATATTTCTTCCACTTGAAGCTCACCAGCTGCTTCACCGGGGTCTGCTCCAGGATCTGACGAGCCTGGCATGGAAGCAGAGTACAGATGGGGGTGGCCAGCCCAGTGAGGCAGGCAGGATTTCCCACCGGGTCCCAGAGGGCCAGGCTCTAACTGCGCTATCATCTTTCATTCAGTTAGCCAGCCATTTCATTTTCAGACAACTAGAAAATTTCCACTTTATGCTGAGCCTCATGTGAGTGCTGCAGGGGAACTATCATAGAAGTAAAACAAGGCATTCGAGCACCAGTGAATTTTGAGGGATGAGTAGTACTTAGTGGAATGAAGAAGGGGGAGCTTGAGAAGATCCTTCCATGAAGTAGCAGCAGTTACCAAGGCAGGGAGGTGAGAGAGTCATCTGCAAATGAAAGCCGGGGGTGTCTGGGGACATGAGAGGACCCATAGGGAGTGGCAGGCAGGAGTTATAAGGGGTGACACAGATAAGAGACAGACCATTGCACATTGTGAATGTCATAGTCAGGAGTTTGAATGATCTTTCTGAATGCAATGGGGAGCGTTGGGGGCACAAGCAAGGAAGCAGTCACATTTGCTCTGGAAGTGTTGTGGACCAGAGAGGTGCAATAAAGGCACAGGGGTTGGATGTGGCAATAATCTAAGCCCCCAGGGTGGGCTGGGACTCTGATGTAAGTACATGGTAAGAGGTTAAGCACAAATGAGAGAGAGGGACAGAAGGGATAAGGCATCTGAGAAAGAAAGAAAAGTCTAATTCAAAGCAGAGCTGGAGGAATTAACCATTAGCAAAAAGAATTCTTTTCCACTGAACCTAGAGGGAAGAAGAGGAAGTGGGTTATTTTCTGATGAGTTTGGCAGCTCAGGGCAGGAAGGAAGCAGCTCCAGCCAGAGAGCCTGTTTTTGCCATAATGTGGGACTCTGGTCTTCTGGTGGAGCTAAAGGAGAGAGCTGGGAGGGATGTAAACGGGGCTCGGAATTTTGAGGGAAGGGCAAAGTAGTTGATCAAGGCAAGAATAAAACTTGGAGAACACAGAACTCGCTGAAACTGGGGACCTGGGATTTCTGTTGGCATTGTTCATGCAGAGGGATTGGGGTTATTTTTTTAATTTATTTTCTTACTTACTTATTTATTTGACATAGCGAGAGAGAGAGAGAGAGAGAGAGAGAGAGAGCATAAGTAGAGGAGTGGCAGGCAGAGGCAGATGGAGAAACAGACTCCCTGCTGAGTAGAGAGCCCAATGCGGGGCTCGATCTCAGGACCCTGGGATCATGACTTGAGCCAAAGCCAGATGCTTAACCGACTGAGCCACCCAGGCACCACTAAGAGATTGGGGTTCAATTCCTAAAAAATCCTGCTTGAAGTTTGTTTCCAGGAATATTCTGCAAGCAAAATCACACAAATAGGCCTTTCAGGTTTTCTTCTATCTGTCACTACTAACAACTATCCAAGATTTACAGTCCTAGAGGGGTTCTTAGGATTGTCATATCACAGATAAACAACAGAAATTATATCTTGTCACCATTTTGGAGGTTCCTGAGGGCTTGAAGCATCTTCTCCTCTCTACGAGAGTCTTCGACAAATTTTCCTTTCCCACCTATTAACTCAATTCAGTCCTATCTGAATAGTACTGCTGTTTCCCCCTCCCTGGAAAGCTTTCTTATTCTTCACCTTTCTGGTGATTTGAAACTCCCCGTTGAAGACTCAGCTCAAGCCCTTCCTCTGTGACATCTTCTGTGGCCCATCCAGGACAAGTAACTTGACATCCATTTTGCTGCCACTGTGCATAATCCAGACCCCTCTAATGGCATAAGTGGTACCCACTGCAGTTACTAAGGACAGTGACCGGAATTTGAGTAGCAGACTGACAGGAACTGAGATTTATTTCTGTAGTCTCAGTTCCTTCTACAGCAGCTGGGACTCAGAAGGTGCTCAATGTAGAATGAATGATAGGAAGTGACTTCCATTTGGAGAGGTCCTCAATTAAAACAATAGTATGACAAACATAAGCAGAGGGGCTGGAGATGGGCAGAGGGAAAATGCAGTTAGACTGGAAGGCCCCATGGTTCTGTTCTCATGCTCAACTATTAAAAGGCAGGGAAGTATCTGGAGCTCAGGATCTAAGGAAACGGACAGGCTTTGCTTGGGTATTTGACAGCCCCAGGTCCATGGTGGCATCCATACCTCTCGCTTCTTGGAGGAAACCACGAGCTCGAGAAAGGACACATCCTCCCCCCAGGAGTCGATCTCCGTGAGGTCATAGAGAGTGGAGGTCAGCGGCCCGTACGTCCACTGGATGTGCTTCCGCTTCTGCATCAGGTGCTGGAACATCTGGGGGGACACAGCGGTGAGTCAGAGGGTCAGCGTGAGGAGCGGCCACGGGAACCACACCTCCCAGAGGGCTGCGGTGGGCTCCTGGGCACTAACGGGCAGTCCGCGAGCTCCACGCCTCTGCTGCGTGAACCTCCTTTGGTTTCTGCTTCTCCCTCTTTCCCACCAACCCTCTCAAGATCGCAAAGAAGAGGACAGGCCAAGAGAACTGCACTTGGGGTCACCAGAGCAGATATTCTAGAGTGCCCTTCTCCAAGCTCCGGATCAGGGAAACCTGGGGCCGAGCATTTAGCCACGGAGTTGGGAGTAAGAGACAGCGCCCTGTGGGGGGCTTGGGAGGAAGGGTCTTTAGAAAGAGGCCACAGGGCCCGGGGAGCGTCCCTCACCACAGTGTTGCCCTCCACGCCGGCCAGCTTGAAGGGGGTGAGGCCCTGGTGATTGGGCACGAGGTCCAGGGACTGCAGGTGGTCCCTGCGCCCATCGTAGGACAGCAGCAGGTTGTACATTTGGCAGGCAAAGGTCTTGTTGGGCTGGAGGATGAGGATGTGCAACACGGTGTTTCCTGCGGGGGACACAGGTGTCGCATGGCCATTGCACCGAAGGCCCTGCTATTCCCCTGCTCACCCCGAGACAGGCCTGGGGGCTGTCCAGGTCCCTGCCCTCACAGCCCCCAGCATCCCAGCTCCCCTCCTCGCCCCAGCTCTTACCCAGGGAGTCCTGGGCCCGGATGTCAGCTCCATGCTCAATGAGCAGCCGCACGATCTCCTCACTGCCCACGCAGGCAGCAAAAGACAAAGGGTGCTCCCCTGTGGACACAGAGGGCTCCGTGGCATGAGTGCCCGATGGGATGGGCAGTGTCCCTGAGCGACTGCCTTCTTCCCCCCACATCTGAGCTCTGGGCTTGGTGACACTTGTCAGCAGAACCAGAGGCAGGGATGGAGCAAGTGCCATGGGGAGAACTGGCTCTGGCCTTAAGCCCTCTAAGCCTGACCCCTTCCAGCTTTCCCGGGGCTGAATCCCCCCTCAGCCCCCATCCCTTGGCTCTTGCCCATCTCCCCACGCCCCTTTCCTCCCAGCCCTGGCCCTGCTCCCACCAAAGTAGATGAGGTTGCGGGGGCTGCGGCGGAAAGCTTTGCCTGTCGCTCTTGCAGAGACGCTGGCCCCGTGGGCAAGCAGGGCTCGCACCAAGTTCACGTTCTGGTTCACGATGGCTATGTGCAGTGCAGTCTGACCTGGCCAGAGAGAACACTCAGTCATGGGGTCTGTCCCCAGGATCCTGCGGGGACACAGCATCCCACTGGCAGACAGGAGGTCTCTGACAGGTCCTGGCATAGATTTCTGTCCTTGGCTCACCATGGTGGCCTGGGACTGCAGGCGATTAGTCCCATAGGCTGTCTACCTCACTGTCCTCACCTCTTGATTATTGTGGGTAGGGTGTACATATGACCACTCTAATGTTGCTATGAGAAAAAGAAACAGAGTTTTGTCCTTCAGGAAACATGAGAGGTGTTGAAAGGAAATAAGGAATGGCTGAAGAAAGTCACGGATGCTAAAGGCCAAGACCAGGACTTCTACATTCCTTCCAACTCAAGAGCAACCCTCCTAAACCCTCTGTCTCTCCTTCCCTGCCCCTCCTTCAGAGGCCCAGGTTAAGAGGTGACATTGGCGCCTCCCGTCCTGTCTCCAACTTGAATTACTATGCAGCTCCTCACCTACAAATGGCTCACACAAGGTGGGCTCCTTGACCAGCTCCGGGGCAGCCTCTACCAGCACCATGGCGGCTTCGAGATTGTCATAGAGTGCCGCTATATGAAGGGCTGTCTCCCCCAGGGCTCCTGTGGCAGAGTAAGATGGGGTGTCAGGGACTGCTGGGGCCTCTGGAGGAAGGGGCTCCAGCTGGAGGTACTCTCCACCACCCCCTGCAGACCTCCTCAGCGTCTGGGGGTCAGGCGGGCAGGCGCTTCTGGCCCTCCTCCTGTCACCCCAAGCCACGTCCCACCTCTCTGCCGGAAGTCACAGTTTCGGTCCAGCAGAAGCTTCTTCAGGACACACAGGTCATTTTCCTTGGCTGCCTGGAGCAGAGGAAACTCTTGGATCCTGGGAGCAGATGAACATGGGTCAGGTGGAAGCAGAATCACAGAGAGGCCAACAGCAGAGAGAGGATCAGAGATGTTTTCTACGTGGAACGGACAGGAGTCAAATAAGGTGTGCAGTGACACGCTGGAAAGAATTATTTGCTGGGGTCTAGCTGAGGGTCAGACTGGGATGAGCCTGGCTCCGGGCTCCCCCTGTGGTTGCATCATTGCCAGCTTTTCCCGGGGCGGGGGGGGGGGGTAGAGGGAGGGGGTGTTACTTAAGCCTTAGGTGGGTGGGAAAGTCTGTGGAGGGCAGAAGGCCTGAGCAGCTGAGCAGGTGGCCCTAGTGACACTGACAGGAAGCCATCAGGCCTGGACTGTCTGAATCCATCTAGGCTGAGTAAATATTTTCACCCCTGCTCCCAGGCCTGCTGAACCGGCTCTCCTTGGGCAAGGGGAACTCTGAGAGACCAGAGGGGCAGAGAGGCCAAGGTGGGCCAATTGTTGGGACTTGGGAAATTTACAAGCTGCCAAAATTCCAAATAACCCTCTGGGCCGCTGACATACATATCCCTGCTGTCGGTGGGCAGGGAGAGATCTGGAGAGGAGTGCAGACTGTCTAGTCCTTCTGTGTTTTACCCCATTCCTGACGGAGGAGGAGCATAGCCTCAGGCTTCTCTGGGAACAGAAGCGTGTGGAGATATCCAACCTAAGGTGTCTCTTGTCAATTAATCTTTGTTCCTCCCCTGCCTCGAAGAACCAAATGAGAGATAAAACTGAAGCCCATCCTGCTGGGCAAGCGCATGTGGGCTCCCAAGCTGAACACAAGGCAGGTGAGGGTCATGAGGGAGAGATGAAAGGCAGACAAACAGACTGACCAGCGCTTCCCATGATGTCCCCAAGCCCCCAGATCCTCACATCCCATTGCCCTGTGAGCCAGAGGAAGAACATTTTTACTTAAAGAAGAAGCTTTTTATCTTAAGGTAGAGCTCAAGTCTGTCAGTTAGAAAAGTGCTCTCAGGAGGGACCAGCAGAGTACGGGCCAGCCCCCCTCCCATCTCACCCAGTGGGAGTCCGCCCAGCTCAGGGCAACCAGGGCTAGGGTTCCAGAGTTCACCTCTTCTTCTGGGGGCAGCACACACAGCCCTAGCAGCCAGGCCTCTAGCCCACCACCATCTGCAGAGGAGAGGAGAACGCAGCTCTCTCTCCAAGACCGCCCTACTCTCACCCAGAAGTTTGAAGGGAGGTGGGGAGGCCAAAGTTCCCTCCCAGGGGCTGGGGTGGGGGTTGGTGAGCAAGCAGAGAGCCTTTCCCAAATGCGGGCGGAGACTGTCACCAGGGCCAGCTGCACAATTTGTGAGGCCCAGGGCCAAATGAAAATGCAGGACTCCTATTTCAAAAATGAAGCATTTCGAGTTGACTACAGCAGCTCATTAAACCAAGGGGTCCTGTGCCACTAACACTGGAGAGACCGCCCGCACAGGAAGCCAGCCCTAGCCAGACCACAGACCTGCTACTGTCAGCTCACTGAACCCCTAGGCAGCTCTCTGATGGGAGACCAGTTCCCCAAATGCTCTGAGGCAGAGGCCCACCTGCAGGATGGGTCCCGGCCCTGGCCACTTGTCCATGAAATGATCTGTCCCCAGGTGTACCAGCCCCACCTGACCTGAAGGCGTCCCAGGAGCAGGTACAGGCCTCATTCAATCTCTGTGTCCTCGGGATATGGCCTGGACACGGTAGACTCCTCAATAAAAAGTAGATAAGCTTGAGTTTCCCTTATCAGTTGGTCAGCTCCAGATGAAATGCAAAACAGAGCTCTCCTCCCCTCGCACACAGTCAACTTTCATTCATACTGATGGGAATTCCTCACTCTTTCTCCAGGGGACAAGTCTTCCCCAACCTGTAGGATCTCATGCCTCCCCCCAATAACTTGTTCTCTATCAGCCTGCACCTTCCTACCTCCCCAGTCGGTCTTTTTTGGTCCGGTCCTTTTCTGTCTCCCGCACCCGTCCACCACCAGGTGGGCAGGTTAGAACTGTGGTGTCATTTTGTCCCTGGCTTGGAATCTACGTTGAGTCCCCTCCCGTCCTGCCCACGAAAAGAGGCAGCTGGGGTTTGTAACGAGTGGGCTGGGTCACAGCCCAGTGCCTGGCATTGCATTCCAGGTTGCTCGAAGACCCCGAGTGGATCAGAGGACCCTGAGGTTGGGGAGGGGTGGGGGGCAGCGTGACTAAGGCAGCCTACCTCTTCTGTTGCAGCATGTGGGCCTCGTCCACATGCTGATCCCAGTCCGGCTCTCTGACCAGCCAGGAGGCCAGAAGTTTCTGGAGTTGGACCCAGGGTCCCTCTGTCTTAGGTGGAGGAGCCCCCATATCTTCTCCTTTCAGGCACTGGCAGGTTAGGGAATGTGGTAAAAGGAGCCAGTCTGGGACTCCTTAACTGAGGAGGAGGCGGAGTCTGTTTGGGGTTGGGACTGAGAGAGAGTATCTCCAGTGTGACTTGTGTATGCAGCATGCTGCTTGTGGGTGGGGTGTGTGTGTGTGTACACATGCGCACGCCTGCACACACTGAGGGTACTCGGGGGCCTTGTCAGGAGAAAGCAGCTTCACCTGGAGGAGGAGGAGCTCTTTCTCCAGAGCCCCTAGGGCACAGAACCCAAGAGCTGGGAGGGGTGAAGGGAGGAAATTCCATTCCTGGCAGTGGGCTGGGGCTGAAGCTGAGACAGGGGAAAGTGAGGGAAGGTGAGGCAGTAGAAAATAGAGGGGAAGCAAGGATGGAGCCCAGAAGGTGGGCCCCACAAGCAAGGTGAGCGCTTAGTGGGATACAGGACAGTAGGAAAGTGAAGCCTACCAGCTCAGCAGTCAGGCAGGTCCTGGTTTGAATTCAGATCAATTAGGCCAGCTTTCTGGGCCTCAGTTTTCTAATCTGTAGAATTGGGTTAATTATTGTGCTGTCTCATGGAGTCCCTTAAAGCATGATCGGAAAAGCTCAGGGACGGTTGGTTCTCCTTCCCCAGATAGGCTCCAAGCCCTGAGGTGCTGCTTCTCTGTGTTGTGGTTGTCTCTGTCCTCAACCCTACAGCCAGCCTCCCAGAGACTTCCTGGCTACCCTCCTTTGTCTTCCCTCACAGCTTCTACCTAGTAGAGTAGGGCCCAGAGGTAGAACCATAAGAGCTGAGCCACAGTGGTGGATGGAGAAATCTTGGGACTCTCCCCAGGAATGAGTAGGCAAGAGGATTGAAGGCAGATATCCTCTTTGTGTTGTTTTCTGATAGGATGAGTTCTACTTCTCTTCTGATTATAAATGCATGTTATCAAATTGGAGTTATTCAGGAGGCCAAGGAGGTACATGGGGATAGGTTGGGGGCTCTCTTTATATTCTAATGAGGAGACAGAGCACAGAGAGGGAGGGTGATGGCCCATGGCTAAGTAGCAAAACTAGAACTGGCTTTAAAGTTGGAAATTTAGCTCCAAATCACCTACCACAACTTATTGTTTCTTGGAAGCCTTCTGCCTGTACAGATGTGGGAGATTTGGGTGGACATGGGCTGGGAACCTCCCCCTTGGGGGTCTTTAGGAGCAGGGGACCCCGCTTCTTTTAGTGTAAGACTGACAGATGGACAAAACGGCCCTTATAGGAGAGTTGAAAGGAGACAAGTAAGAAAAGGAAGAGATGCTGGAGACAGGAGGAAGCACACTCCCACTTAGGGAGTGGGGAGGGGCCAGTCAGGACCGGGAGGCGGTCACCTTGTAGGGCAGTTTTCTGTTTTGCTGGGGGCTGGAGCAGTGTGGGATGGTAATGGCCTCTGAAGCCTTGGGACTTCCAGTCTAAGGAGATGGACAGCGAGATAAGGTTGAGGTGGGGGTTGTAGATGCGCTGATAAGCAGGGGGCTGGCAGAGAAGGAGCACCTGCCTGCCGAGGCAACACTCAGCCCATAAAGCTAATCCTGGAGGCCGTGGGGGTGGGGAGGGGCTGGCCCGGTCACAGCCGCACAGAGCAGGTGCAGGGGGGCTTGCCACCAAGGGCTCTGTCCTTGGGTCTGGGGTGGGGAGAAGAGGGGGGCCTGGGGAATGGGTCCCCACCTCTGGGTCTCCACCCTCTCACTTGCCCAGGCCCACTGCATGGGGCCACTTCTATGTGAATAGTTTTTGATAAAGACACTACAATACTATAAACATATTTTTCTTCCATATGACTTTCTTAACAATTTTCTCTAGTGTACTTTACTATAAAAATGCAATATATAATACATATAGCATACAAAATATGTGTTAGTTGACAGTTCATGTTTTTGGTAAGGCTTGCAGTCAGTGTTAGGCTATTAGTAGTTAAGTTTGGGGAAATCCAAAATTGCACTGGGATTTTTGACTGTGTGGGGGTCAAGTCTACTGCCTAATCTTCGGGGAGTTCCCTGATTGGCTTCCTCCCTTCATTCCTCCGCCCTTGTCATATCCCCCACCACAGCCCTACTTCTCCCTCCTTCTTCCTCATGCTCCCTCAGCCGTCTGTGGACACAAACACCTAGGGCCCCTCTCCCTCAGGTCACAGCTTCCCTGCAGTCTCGGGAGACTCAATGATGGCCCAAGAGCCCCTCATTACACTGTTAGGTCCCAGGGCCCCTTGTCCCCAAAGCAGTCAGACCTCATGTTCTGATGTGGTAAGGAGGAGGAAAAGGAATCATACCTGGATTCTATTTTCTAGGAAATACTCTTCCACTCCACATCCGCACAGCCATGTAGGGAAAGGATTTAAATAATACACTTTAAAACACTAATAGTGATTTTCACTGAATGGTCAAGTTATTAGCCCTTTTCACTTTTCCTACTTTTTAAATACTTTTGTAATAAAAACAATTAAATTCCTGCAGGACTTATCTCTTTCAGCCGGGGAATGGGGCTGGTGGTGGTGAGGAAATTCGAGGAGTGGTGGTCAGTACAACCCAGTTCTTTCCACACCAGCCTGCCCCACCCCCAGCTGCCCTCCCCATCAAAACGCACAGAGCCTGAATTGGCTTCTCTTTTTGCTGGGAACCAAGAGGCTCCTCCCTGCAAAGTAACCAGATTAGTGACTTTTTTTCCACCCAAGCATTGTTTCCTGGACCTGAAGGTCAATGAGTGCAAGGTACGGGTGAGCAGGGTCACTTGCTTCCTTGAGTCTTTCTTCCCCCACCATCAAGTGACCTCCTGTACCACTCCCCATTCACCAAGTCGCCTGGCCTGGATCAGCAGGAAGGTGGGGTCCATCTGTGGGAAGGAGTCTCACACTCCCATGTCTGTAATTCTCTTTTCCAGAAAGGGCACATGTTTCTGCACATGGCTCAGCCCATGCCTTTGGTGGTTCACTCAGGTATGGGATGCATGGGCCTCAGGAGTGGCGTGAGCTGATTGTGATAGCTCAGGTGTGCCCACAGTCTCCTCCCACCTGCCCCAGGACCCCTCACGTAGCTCATGGCCTTCTCTGATTTCTGGTTGTCCAAGCAGGTCTTCATCTTAACTCCCAAGCTCACCCCACCCCACCCCACCCCATCCCAACCATCTCTGCTCCAGGAAGTGTTTAGCCACAGCCCATTACCGCCAACATGTCTGTGCTCACCAGGTTCATGGGTATGGCGGGCCTGGGGCACTGAGGCAGTTTCCTTGAGATCTTTTATGTGGGATTCTCACCTCTCTGCCACACTGGTTCTTCTCTAAAGACTCTACTTCCATCGAGCAAGGAGTTTAGAGAATGAGCCTCTAACAACTTTTTCTTTGTGTCTGAGAATTATATAAGAGGCTATAAAACTAGAGAAGGGGAGTTTAAGTCTACCAGTACAAGAGGGCAAAGACTCAGGGAGAAGAAAGTCTAGGGGAAGGTTAGGAGTGAAGGAATGGTTTCTGCTTGGGTAGACACCCTGTTCTGTGTCTCATATACACACACACCCTTCATGTACACTTTCCTCCCCCTCCATCTGTGCCTCTCCACCTCCCTCATGTTTGATGGGCTTGAGTTTCATGTATGGCCCGGGACTTCAGGATTCAATATTATCACATCTTCTCTGGGCCTCAGCCTCCATAAGCCACTTTCCTTGGAGAAAGGCCACATGGAAGAGAGGAAGAGGTGATGTCTAGAATGAAAAAAGGTGGTCAAGGGTCCTGCTCTGCCCCTATTGTCTGGGTGATGCTAAGGGCAAGAGTCATGTCTTTTGTGAACCTCGGTTTCCTCATCTGTATAATGGGTATGATGATACTATGACTTTGAGTCCCACTTGTTATGAGGATCTCATGACAAAATGGAAGTGAAAGTACTTGGCAAACTCTTCAGTCATTTGGTTGCTCTCCACAGGATGACCCACTATGATCATCCTAGAAGCCTGTGCTACCTGCTGCTGCTACTCACTACTCTCTTGCTTGGCAATGGAACTCTCTAATGACCTGAATGAGGGGCAGGCCCATGGCTGTGATGTCACAAAGCTCATGAAGTCAGAGGTCCTATGGAAGGGAAGGGAAGAAAACGGTGCTGGGAAGTGGTAAGGGCTGGGACAGGGACAGGGGAGGGAGGTGGGGGAGCTGGCTGGGAACTGGGGAGTAGGGAAGGCCAAAAGCAGCTGATGGGCAGGCCCATGAATTCCCTGGGCTCCCAGCTCTGCAGGGCAGCATTCCTGGCCACCATCCTGCTGCTGCTGCGGGTCAAGGGGGTGAAGCCTCAGAAAGGCAACTTGGACCCCAACGAGAAGAGTCAGAATGAGGAGATACCCTCTACAGGTAGGTAGAGGAGAGAGGATGGCATCTGGAGCTAAGGATCAGATCTCTTTGGAGTCAGTCCCCCACTACTTATCAGGCTGGAACGAAACCTGAGATAGGTTCGGGTTGTGGGAGAGTGGACTCCAGTCCCCTATTATTGTAGTGTGGAAGAGTCGGGTAAAAGGTTTAGAGCAGTGTTCTTGACCAGGGCCATATACAGGGGTGCACCACAGGCTAGCCAAAAGTGCATGTGTCTTGTGTGTGTGGGGGCACAGATGCATTTGTCTGGGAAGAGTCTCTGGTCTCTCTCTTCTCTAAGTCTCTGGTCTCTCTCTTCTCTAAGGCGGTCCCTCTGTCTCTGAATGGTGTAATGCAATTTGGAGGAGACAGTTTGAGGTGGAAATGGGGTGTGTGTGCTGCGGTTGAACACAGATGGGAAGAGACCTCTAGATGGAGCATCAACTCCTTGGTCAAGGACAGGGTCTGCACAACTGGGCTAAAGTCCCAGGCCCTAATCCCTTCCCAGATTCTCTTAACTTTGTCCCATTTCTGGCACAGGTTGGGGTCAGGGTGGGGCAGGTTAGGATCAGCATCTTCATTGCCTTCCCCTCTCTGCTATTCCAGACCAGGATCAAGAGTACTTTGAAGAGCACTTTGTGGCCTCCTCAGTGGGTGAGATGTGGCAGACTGTGGATATGACCCAGCAAGAAGATGACAAGACATCAGACACGACAGCTCTTCGTGACCACCTATTGGACCTAGCCTTCTGCTTCAATCTGGCCAGCATCATGGTTTTTTTATGAGGGACATTGAGGCTGAGGTGGTGGCCTGGTTCCTGGATGAGGACCTGGATATCTACCTCCGCTTCATGATAGCTTACTGACCCTCTCTCCCCACTGGGCTCCAGGTCACTGCTCTCAAGGGAGGCATACGCCTGGCTTCCTGACTCTGGCCTATGGCTCTTCACTTCAGGATGCAGCACTTGAGAGAGCCTGGCACTGGCCTTCCAACTACCCATCGCCACAGCCTGACTGCCTCCCCACTCTCTGAGCTCCATCTCCCAGAGCCTGAGACACCAGACCCATGCCCTTCTCTCTCCTGCACCTCTCCTGATTCTGCTTGGGACAGCACATTAGGGGAAGAGGGTAGCAACAATAAAAGTAATAACAATAAAATCCTGAAAACACTGGGGGACAACTTTCTGAGACTTAGCTGAAGCCCTTTTGTCTCTTACTGGTCCATTTAATTGCTGGACCTGTGGCCCACTGACCTTCAAACCCACTAGTTCAGCAAGCATTGGTGTTCTCCTTTTCTTGTGTCTGTGGAACTCTCTTGGCCTTTTCTCCTCTTATTTTTTCTGACTTCTAGGCATAGAACATATCAAGAAAGAGTCATTAAGAGATAGGCAGATGCCAAGTGCCAGCTTTTATTTTTGGAAGGGAAAGAGGCAATTGCCGCCTAATTCTATGGACGGAGCAGGGAGACGTTGTGACACCTGATTGAAGTCTCTGTGGTAGCCAGGCTACCAGAGTTGGCAGTGGCTAGAGGGGTTCAAGAGGGTACCGTGTGGACAGTGGAAATGTCTGCCAAAAGCTGGGGTGTTGCTGAGTGGCCCGTGGACTCGAAGGGTGGGTGGGCTGTGAGGATCCTGGGGCTCCTGGGTGCCAGGCTCCCTACACATCACCTGTGGAGAAAGAGAGGTGCGTGTGGGGTAAGGAAAATGGCAGAATCATAGGGTAGATCAGGGTCAGTAGGATGAGGCAAACCAGTGCCAAGGTGGTGACTAGGGATGGCAGAGATGAGAGCAGGGATCAAGCCACACATTTGTTGGTCTCTTGATGATCTGGCAGGAGGCATGTGGGGGGGGGGGGGCCCGGGGCGTGCAGACAAACCATCTGTCAGTGACTGAGGGGTGGGGTTTATTGGAAAACCTCTGTGAGAGGGTCTTTCAGTATATTGAGGAATTGGGTGTAGTGTCTTGTTGAGAGAGCATATGGTACTTAGAGGGTGCTGTCAGGTGTGGACCGCACCTGGGGTCTCCCAGTCTCCAAGAAGGACTGGGGTCTGTAGACAGTCTGTTGGAGGCTTATTTTTGAGGAGAAATGAGAGAAGAAAAAGTTGGGCTCATCTCAGAGGGATTTGGCAGTAGAGTTTTTTCTTTATTGAAGGGGGTGCCGAATTTGGTAGAAGAATTTATAGTAAAATGAAAAAATGGCCCCAAGTGGTATGTATAAAAGATGACAGTGGGGACTTCTATGGCAGAGGGTTGGGGCTGTTTGGGAGAAGGAGTTTCAGGGAGGAGCTGTTCTTTAAGCATTAGCAGTAAGGTACTTCTCTGACGTGGAGCGAGCCGTGCGGGAAGATGGCAGCTGTCTACCTGGGCATAGCTTCGGAAGAAGAGTTGCTGAGGACTGAGGTCCAGGTTCGGCAGTGTGGTCTCCCCATGGTGCCATAACAGCCTTTTGCTATATGCCTGCATATGGGGGTGGGATGGGAGTAGCCCTTAGTTAGACTCCAGAACCATGGCCATTTGGAAGTCTGAAGCCCTACATACAAAACCTAAAACAGTTTGTGGTTTTTGCCCAAGTTCTTCACAGACACACTGGTCTAAGTGAGGAAAAAAAATACGAATATCCTAGAAAAGAGGGATTTGTGGGGTAGGAAGGGGATCACCATCTCTTCAATGGGGATATGAAGAGTAAAAGGCTTTACAGCTATGTTTGCATGAGGGATGGTAGAAGGAATGGCTATTAACAGATCCCAGCTCCTGGGATGGGAGTTACCTGCAGTGCAATGGCCAGCCCCCCAATGTCTGCAGCATTCTCCAGGAATGTCCGAGATCCATTGAAGGAGGTTCCATTGGGTAAGGGAATGGTCTCATAGTGGTGTTTCATGCACAGCAGCGCCCCCTGTAGGGCACGGGTGTCACAGGCCGGGCAGCCCCCAGGGAGTACTGTTGAAAATGCGGCCAGGTAAAGAAATAGTGAGGCGGCAGGCATGTAAGGATGAGTACAAGGGGGCTACCACAGACTGGGCTGGCCCCCAGAAGCATTGCAAAGGGTTCAGAACTGTCCCACCAGGAGCCCACCCTTTCTCCTCCTCACGGCCTCTTTTGGGGCCTTCACCTGGGTTCCCAATGGCCCCACCTCCCAATGGCCCACTGTTACCCACAGAGCTGGTAGAAGATGTGCAACAGCTCATGGGCCATAATGCTGCCAGCAGCGCCAAAGTTCACGGCTCTGGGGAGACAGAGGTTTGTCTTACTCCCAGAGTCCTTCCAATCCAAGTTTTTGACCCCAATTCTCTGACCACAAGTGCCATCCATCATAACATCTGTGCATCAGGCTTGGGAAGTCCCCTGCCCACCCTCAGGGAATAGCCCCTACCTGGGGTAGCCAGGGTGGAAGAATGGCGGTTGGAGGAGTCCAGCTGGGAAGACCACCACATGGTCAGGTATTGAATAATAAGCATTGACCCCCCAGGGGGATACCTGCCACCTATGGGAAGAGCACATATGAACACCATCTCCATCATTTATGGTCCCTCCCACCAGACATGAAATCCCTCTCAACTACTGTCACACTGTTCCTGTTTCCCCAAGCCCCCATCTTTCCTGCTAATCTTGAATGGGTATCTCTGAGATGCAGGGTCTATGTCTCCCTTGCTCTTATACCTGTGGTAGGGGAAAGACTGCAAGAAGCTCTGGACAATTCTAGCTTGGAGGGATCGGACACAGCTCAGGAAGGACTGCAGGTAGCTGGGTCCAAGCTGTATCTGGGAGGAGGCAGGAAGTGACTCGGATACACAGAGACAAATACAGATGCACACTGACATACCCTGATGGGTACATCTGAACACAGATGGATAAGCCCCGGCATATAGACATCCATAGTACAGGGGAAGGCAGCACAGTGACACTGCCACATGTCAGTGCAGACAGGTTTTACACAAATCAGAGCACAGATAAACATGCTCAGGCAAGTCACAAGAATGCATGTGTATATGCATGCACACACACTCAGTGTGACCTGAAAAGGTTCTGCTGTTCTGCTGGCAAGACCCACAGTGTGGATATTCACCCATAAAGCCCAGCCATCACCAGGTCAAGGAAGGGTCAGTTAGGATTGCCCAGGATAAACAGATTATCTGCCACTCAGGTGGGTCAGGGGGCTGAGGACTAATGAGGAGCTGGCAAGGGCAGGGACCCACATCGTTGTATTCCTGTCTGGCCTGTGATGGCTCCAGGGCCCATTCTGGGGCCCCCATCTTCACCTGCAGTTGGGTGACCTGGGGAGAGACACAAAAGATAGAAGAAACCTAGCTACCCCAAGTCGATCAGAGAGAATATCTTGTGCTCACTGCCCTGGTCCCACCTTTTGTGTTGTCACCAGGGTATATGGGCAGCATATTGGTGTTTACACTTGCCATGTGTCCTTGTGCCTTTGCATTCTCCTCCCACCAATGTGATCTCTGGGTCCAATACTCAATTCCACCCCTTCTGACTCTTGCATTTCACTCTGAGCTCACCCTGTTCTGGGCCTCTTTCCAGGTATTCTCATCCATCCAGGGAATCCTTCTGAGGCGGCTGATGAGGGCATTCTTGATTGCAGTGAATAATTCCATAGCCTGTGAAGGGGCCAGGATAGAGAAACAGAATCAGGGTCAGCTTCAGTCTGGGGTCTTGCCTGCTGGGCCTCTAAGAAGGGCCTTGGCTCCAAGAAGCTACCAGAGAAGGGGGAAGATCTCTGAGAGAGAAAGCAGGAAGTAATATTAACTAGGTACTGGAAACCCAGAGCACAGAGATCTGGGGGGACAGAAAGGAGGTGCCACACACAGAAAGGAAATCTGAGAGCTGGTCACTCCTGAGGTCAATAGGGGAGAAAGTTCCTTTCCATGGGAGATCCCAGCCTTCCAGGGGAGGGAGATACCATCCTTACCCTTGGCCAGGTGATCCACTCAGAAAGCAGAGGGAGGAAGAGGACCATCATTCCCTTCCCTGCTCTTGAGGCCCCTTGTCCTCACACTCTCTTAATTATGGCCGGCATTTCCTTTCTCCATCTTTCTGGGCATTTCAGCTTTCCAACAAGCTGAAGTCTTTCCAGCTTCACAACTGACTGTGTGGTTACTGATTTCCCATCCATCTATCTTCTTGTTTGTATCCTTTCTTGATAGAGGTAAATGGATGACAATATCAGAAGCCTGAGCTCAAATCCTGACTCTATTAACTGGTAGCTGATCTTGGGCAAGTTACTTAACCTCTCTATGCTTCAATTCTCTCTTCTCTAAAATCAGGATGATATTAGGCATTAAAGTAGTTCATGCAAAGTGCTTACAAGAGTATCGGCCACATGGTAAGCACTCAAAGACTATTCAGTACTCATTCACTTGAACTTTTTAAGATTATATCATTCCATTTTCCTGTCGTTTCCTGTGTTGTTAAGAAATCATAGAGAAACAGGGATTCATTTAGAGGCCATGGAGTTCAATTTTCTCATTTTATGGTTGAAGAAACACAAGTGCAGCAAAGTTAGGTAACTTGTCCAAATTCCATGCATGTTGTGTGCACTTGTGTCCTGTAGTAAAACTATGTAAACCCTAGGGATGCAGCCTGGCCTTCTTTGACTTCTCTCTCATAGTGTGGTCTCTCTCTCTCTCTGTGACTGCCTGACTCCCTGACCATCCCCCAACCACAGAGTAGGGCACAGTCAATAGAATTAGGAGAGAATGATTGGGTAGAAAGGGGTGGAGGGACATGGGCTGGGGAAGAGCCCTCACATACAGCACTTTGGGTGCTCGGGTTGAAGGCCTCACGGACAAACAAGGCTGCCAGAGTAGGCTTGAAGAAGGTTCCTGTATCCTCCACACACTTCATCCATCGAGGGCGGGAAGGCTATGGAGACAAATCTGGAATGAATGGCTCTCATCAAGCATTCTTCCTCATCCACCTCCCTGGGCCTATCTCGTCTAGACCTTTATCCACAGGGGAAGCTCTCTTTCTCTGTCTTTCTGGGTTTGTCTCACTTTGCTCTATCATCCTTTTTGGTGATACACATGGGGCTATTGCCACTTGGTAATAAAAAAGGCTATGTTCTCCAGGATTAGTCTCATGAGCCTGGATTGGGTGAAACATCCTTATTTATTGGCTACCGAATTTGAAAACAAGTTCTTTCAGAGGCACCCTTATGGAGAACAGAAAGGCTCCTGGATAGGAGAGGACTATATAGCAAACCTCTCACCTCAGCAGGTCTGTTGGCCACCGAGTCCCTGCCTGCCACATGCACCATGCTGGTAGCCCAGTAAAGGCTGCCACCCTCCCATGTTTCTTTGCTTAAAATGGAAACTGGGGAAGGTAATCCCTCTTTCCTTTCTGCCACCTTCCCCATCTCTCCAAATGGTTATTGTGGACTATAAGAACTTTATCTTAAAAAGAAGAAAATGATCAGAGTGAAAATGGATTTTAGACACCATATTGTTTGGTAGGAGAAGGAGACAAAAGAAAAGACTAAACATGAATTCAGAAAACCAAGAAATTTTTGGTCAAATCAGGGAAAAGAGGATGAGATGAAAGACATCATCAACTTCAAAGGCAGACAGGTGGTTGTACAAAAACTCAGTAGGGGCTTGGCAACTGGGGTGTTCTTAGCATGGGAACAAAAAAATTGACCAACATAAGACAGAGATGCCGGGAAGGTATTTGTGGGGGTGGGGATGGCTTTGAGGAGCCGACCACGAATTGGGCCTAGAGATGACATGAGACCAACTGAGAAACACGCTCAACAGGTCAAGGGTGAGAGAGCTGGCCTAGGGGAAGGCTGAGCTGGGACTCTATAAAAACAGCTAATATGCAAATTTGGGGTAAGCAGGGATGAAGTCACAAGACTTCATTCCTGTAACTTATTTACTCCTCTCAGATCTCCTTGCAGGGAGGTAGTTAGGTTGCCACTATGCTTTCTGGTACCAAGATTGGAGAGAGAGTTTAAGGGGCTTCCCACAAGAGAGGAAACAAAAAGGGAAGGCCAGTATTGTTGTCATTGAAGAAGACACTTTGGGGTCTGCCTATTTTGACCTTCACCATTTTGAAGGTTGCTCCAGACCCAGTTGCCCACATTTGTGTGTTCTTGTCCCCTCTTGCGAGGATAAGGACTCAGCCACTCTCTACAGCATATTGGCTGCAGCTCCAAAACACAAACGTGCACAGTGAAGATGAGCTGAAAGAGAACCTGTGTCTGACAACCATGACTGGGTCAAGGCAGGCTCAGCTGGCTGCCTTCAGTGACTGTCCATCCCCCACCGGCCTCCTGATGACAGGCCTGGATCTGAGACTGACTTTCATCAGGCTGTGGGGAGCATGGGGGAGGTAGCGGCCACCCCCAGGGCGGCAGCAAGCACATCAGCCTTGAGCTTGGTTGATCTGCCTGCCCTTTCCACACCTCTTCATTCTTGAGTTGTTTCCTGATCCCTTTTGCTAATGCCTGTCCATTTTTCCAACAGCTTTTGCCTCCTCCATGCCTGTCCCCATAGCTTAGGCCCCAGCAGGGTCTGAACCGGTTCCTGGAGAGCATAGATGCCACCCAAGACTACCCATCGCTAAACCCTGCAAAACTCTGGGATTCCTTTGGTCACAGTTGTGCTGGGTCACATCTCCCATGAGCAGGAAAATAACTTCCAGAATCTATAAATAAATGCAGGTCTTGGGGTGGAAGTTGACAGGTTATATATTTGTCTACTGGGGGTTCTGAATATCTGAGCTGTCTCTCAAGACATGGAAGGATAGAGCATACTATATATATATTAAAAATAGAGAAAAAGAGGGGCACCTGGGTGGCTCAGTCAGTGGTGTCTGATTCTTGATTTCAGTTCAGGTTCATGAGATCAGACTCCACCCTGGGTGTGGAGTCTACTTAAAACTCTCTCTCTCTGTTCCTATCTCTCTTCCCCTCCCCCCACTCTCTCTCATGTGTGCTCCCTCTCTCTAAAAGAGAGAGAGAGAAAGAGAGAGAAATATAGTGGGAACAATCATTGCCAAAATAAAAAAGATGGAAGATATACTTCAAGCTCAAGATAATGAAGCCCAGTACATTAGTTTTAGGGAACAGAAGATAAGCTGCAGATATAACCTTAGAACTACATATAATCATATTTAAGAAATAATAGAAATCAAAAGAAAATTCTAGGAATCTGAAGGGAAGCATAAATTTTCTTAATTTGCCATAGAGGGAAAGTAAATTTTAGAAATTATACACCAGCCAGGAATCCTTAATGTTAATTTTGACACCAAATTCTAGAATAAGTCATTAAGCCAATCATTTCTGAACACTTGAGAAACAGCATATAACTACTAAGGGATCACTAAAGACAAATAATGCCACAATAATAACAATTTTTCTGGTTAAAACTTCACCAAACTAGGAAAACCCAGAGACCAGGAGTCACAGACTCGATAAGGGCCAGTGGTGGGGTAACTGAGAAGCAGCCGGCGTCAGACCCATGGGGCATAGAGGGACTAGGGTCAATGGGCAGAGCATACCCAGGCTGAATAGAGCTGCCTTACTCAGCCCCTGTCACTTGTGACCCCTGAGGAACGTTAGCTCAGGGCTGCTTCAGTTTCATGCTTACCACACGCGCACTCAAAAATGCTGGAGATGTGACTACTATCGTGCCATCTCCTAATTTTTGACTGCTGGTGATTAGCTAAAAGATTGTCAAAAGCTTTAAGGCCAAGAAAACACATTGATTGTCCAGATTCATCTTCAAGGAACCACCACAATACTATCTCTGAACAGAGAATTCAGCATTTACTAAATGTGGATTATTAACCCCTGCACTTTGGTTACACAAACCATCCCTGGGAGAGTAATACCAGCCTGCCCCCCTCTGCCTGCATTGCTTGGGAGATCAAATGAAGCACCACATCGAAAGCACTTTGTAAACCTTAATGTACCCCTTCACTGTGTTGCCATTGGTTTCATGGAGGCCTTTGGGTAAACCATAAACTAAGACCTTGTGAATGAGATGCAGAAATCTGTGTTGGAAGATAATATAATTGCATGGCTTCTTAGCGGGCTGAACCATAATGAAACCTCGGTGACCAATGACTCCAAGTCCACATGAGCTTCCCCGACATCCTACCAAAAACCACAACATGCTCCCCACCTAGCATGCCATTTCGCCCTTTCCTGATTTCTTTCTCTGTAATACTAATAGCCACAGAACATATTTTATTTCCTTAGTTTATTGTCTTTCTTCCTTCACCAGAATATCAGTGTCTGAGGGCAGGGGCTTTTGTCTTTTGCCTGTGTGGTGTCCCAAGGGCAGAGAGAAGTGTCTGGCACATAGTAGGTGCTCAGTAAATATTTTTGTTGAATAAATGAATAGATGACTTTATAGCTAGGTCTTCAATGACCTGACCTGCTGCTCTTCCTTCTTTGGTATTTTAATTATAGTCTAAATGAAGATACACTAAATAAAGCTGCAAACGACCAACAATGGGAAGGGAAAGGTAATACAACAGAGGACTGGAACAAAGACTAAAATCACCTGAACAAATCAGGATGTTGGGCTGAATATAAAGAGTTCACTCCACAGGTATAATTGTGACATTCTGCTTTTACTTCCCCAAATTCAGCTTCTCAAGTTTAATAAGAGGAAGATCTGGTTTAATGGCCATTTCATTGACGGTATATTCAAAATCATTCAACAAAATATGGCCAGTTAATAAGACCTCATATTACTGAAATGGGATTCTATAAATTAGAATTCACTCCAAAGAATATGGTTAGAAATCCGCAATTAATAACCATTAGATGAAACCATGAATTTTGGTCATATCAAGACCAATGGGTTGGTGGTGTCTGACTCCCTCCTCCTCCTCACAGCTCACATCCATCACAGCACCTGTTGCTTACCTTCCAAATACATTCTTTTGAAACATAAAAATAGATCAATCTTTCTGTAGGCCTCCATTTCATGCCGAGAAAAGCCAAATCTTTCCAGTGGCCTACTGGGCCCCCTCCATCCCTCTCTGATTTCCTCCCTTTGGCTCTTTGTGCCAGCAGCAGCAGGCAGAACCTTCCATGCATGCCTCACCATCTCTTCTCAGCCAGAACCACAGGGGGATCCCTTATGTGGCCCCAAAGCTTAGCCAGCCTGCTCCATACCTTGTCCAATGAAGTGATGTCCATTTCTTTGCCAGAAAACCCTTTCAACTCTCTAGACAACTGCCTCTGTCCTATGTCTAGCAGGGAGATCCCACTGCCAATCCAACCTTCCCTTAGGTCTCCCTCTTGGGAAATCTGAGGGTTTGTCATGTGACCCAGGGTCTTTCTGGAACGCAGCTACACCCATTCATTTACTCTGCATGCAGCTGTTTTTGTGCTACAAGGGCAGAGCTGGGTGGTTGCAACACAGACCATATGGGCCACAAAACCAAAAGTATTTACTATCTTGACCTTTGTAGAAAGAATTTTCCAACCCATTTTATGTTTTCCTACCCACTGATTTCTCAATCCTACATAGTATGTAATTAAAAACATGGCCTCATGAGATGGACAGGTCTGTTTTGGGGTCCATTTCTTCATCTAATGAACTGGTCTGGGGAAATCTACTTGCCCTTTCTAAGGACCTCAGAGTGTTTGTGAGGGTTAAGTAAAATCACCCACGCTAAGTGTTCCAAGCAGTGCCTGACATACAGTAACACTCACTGTTTATTAGCTATTATTCTTATTCTACTTGTTGGTAGAACTTGAGTCAGCTTTCAAGCTCAAGGACAGCTATAATCCTAATGGTATATGAGGATGGACATAATGGATATAAAGGATGTATGTAAGTATATAAAGGATGGCAACTTTAGCAATCTGTAAGCCTTCTAAGTTCTTCAAGTGTGATTTCAGTATTGGCACACCTACATCCTTCAAGAAGTACCATCAGACCATAGCTCTGGGATTGACAGAAGGCTGTTTGTTACCAGGGACTTTGTAGCAATGTCAACTAAGAAGAGTTGGAGTTCTGTCTGCTTCATCTGTGTCAAGAGAAAGGCTGGGTAGAAGCTTCTTGGGGACTTGCCCATCTGAGTGAAAGTCCTAAAAAGGAGTGTTTTGTCATTGTTGTTTTTATTGGTTTGTTTTGTTTTATTCTTACCACAGTGATTAAGCACAGACCCTCAAGCTAGACTACCAGAATTCAAATCCTAGCTGTACCAACTTACTAGCTGTAATATCTTGAGCAGGTTACTTAGATTTTGTGCCTCAATTTCCCCATCATAAAATAGGCATAAATGATATGCCTACCTCAGGAAATTCTTCAGAGAATTAAATCAGTTCATACATATCTAGAGGGCTTAGAAAAATATCTTACTCCCAATACTCGATAATGACATCACAGTCCCTATGCATTTCATACATTTCCCCTCTCTGAACTCCACAGATGATTCAGGTCACCAAAGCAGTGAATTTCTTCAAGCCACAGAAATGGTCCACAAATTACTAAGAAAAAGGAACCCCAGTGATTTTCAAGATTACACTGAGGCCCTGATTGAGGTTGGAGCATATCTAATGTTCTAGACACCTTTGCTTGCATTTGGACGTGTCTGACCTGAGGTTCCAAAGTTCTTGGTAAAAGAGTGTCTCCACATCTTATGTGACATAAGAGACCTGGATTAGTTTGTTTACGACACAGCCACCACGTCACATATATCAGGATCTGGACCACAAAGCCCATGCTGTGGCCCAGCAGATCCTACTAGATGTCAGGGATGAAATCTTTGTGAAGCACACTTGAACATCAAACACTGTAATCACCTAGATAGAGGAAAGACCACTGCTTGCTACTCATGTCTTGCATCCCAGTGAATCCTAAGCTTTAGGTCCATGTCCTCAAATCACAGAGCTCTGGATAACTAGACATATAGTTTAAAGGTCATGACAAAGGAAAAGCAATTGTTGATCATTTTAGAGTCTTGATTTGCACCTTAGTACTCTGCCAAAGGCCATGAAAATAGCCATATGTGTGTAAATATATGGTACTCAGCATCTCAGTCCTCAATATAAGTACCATATGCCCAAACTGTCTGCTTCTATGGAAACACTAGACATTGCAGGGCACTGCCCTCATGCCCTCATGCCCTCATGCCCTCTCCCTGGGAGAGATATGCCAACATTTATCCCTTAAAATGGCAAATGTTCCTTTAGCCCCTATTATGGGAAAATTCATTCCTTTGTCTCCTCACCATAGGTGGTCTTTCGGTCAGCTCCCCCAGTTTCTGGATCAATGATCTGCGTGCCTCTTGGAATTTACTGTCCAGGGCTGGAGAAAGGGTCCTCACCAGCCCCAAGATCATATGGCTCTGCAGAAAGTCTCTGAGGAAGGAAAAGAGATGGACACATACACCCATGGCTCTGGGGGTACCTTGAGAACAGCCTCCCTTGTGTAGTCACCTTGATACTCCCGGGGGAAGGCCCCTCTCTTCTGTAGCTATAGAAAATAAAGGCTTGACCTTGGAATAAATCAAGAAAAGCTTTCCTTGGTGTGAGTTGGAGAATGGTAGTAGAAGGAACTAGATGCAGAGGTGACTTCTCAAGTTGCAGGGAGGGAAGGGTCTGAGCTAGAGGGAGACTGGACTTAAAGAATCTAACCAGCAGATTCATCTACTTCCACAACCAAGAAATCTCAGTTCACTTTACATCTGATTTGTAACCATATATAAACTTGCTCACACCCACAAGAATGGCCCTTGGCTTCCTTCGCAAAGAATTTCTAGAATTTGCTGCCACTGAGTTACTATGAAGAAGAGCCTTAAACCCAAGCCCCCAGAAGGAAGCTGCTGTCTTCAGGTAGTGGCCACCCAGGCACTGGGAATGGCAGCCCAACACAGAGCCTTACCCATAAGGGCCTCATAATCCTTCACAGCTGAGAAATGGCCTCTCACCTAGCTTTTTCGGCAGCCCAACACAGAGCCTTACCCATAAGGGCCTCATAATCCTTCACAGCTGAGAAATGGCCTCTCACCTAGCTTTTTCCCCAAAGAATCCCCAGCCTTCACCTTATCCAACCACTGGCCTCATGTGCCTCTACCTCTTGCCCACACCTCCCAGCTGCTAAGACACACATGTCTCTAGTGACTGGTCTTCTAGCATCTCCTATAGCTTAGAGGCTCTTCACAGGATGGGTTCTACTCCCAGTAAACCCTGTATCTTGCTGGGCACCTGTACACCTCATTTCATGTGTGTTTTTGCTTAACCGTGCCCCCCAAGCCTCTCATATCTCCTGTTCCCTCCATTCCCTCTTGGGCCATCCACTCCAATTATTCTCTGCCCTTTTGTGTCCAAGGGTCCCTTCAACTTCCTGGGAGGACCTTACCAGCATGCATTTTCCATAATCTTCTTCGTCCCTGAGGCCTCCTGGCCCTAGACATTTTCCATTTCCCTTATACTTCCCCAATCCCACCTGAGGCAAACCTGTGATTCGACAGCTGCTCTTCCACCAGTTGAGACATGTTTTTCAAATACTCCAGGTCATGGACCAAGAGAAGCTGGGAAGGGCTCAACGGCATTGGCGTGAATGTTGCTTGCAAGCAGGACAACCAGTCGATGGCAGGAGCCATTTCCTTAGAGGAGGGACACAAAGGCTGAGGGGGATGGGATTGAAGGGGATGGTTCTCCTCCCTCAGGGTTTGACAGGGAGTGGGGAGGCGGATTGTTGGGGAAAGGGATGGAACCAGGAAAGTTAGGGATGAGAAGGAATTAAGGAATGAGGAAAAAGGAGATCAGGAGAACAAGAAAGTTTGGGAGAGAAGCCCTCGTGCCCACCCTCCTCCAGTCCCTGGTTCAAGGCACCTGCAGTTGGTCAATAGTGACCATGTGGAAGAGCTTTCCCTGTGCCCGCCGCTGCTCCAGGGGCCTTAGAAACTGAAACAGCTGCGAGGTAATGGAGATGGATAGGTAGGCATGTTCTTGCACTTTGTTTGGTTCTCCTCCCAGCAAGGTTCCCAGCTGGTTCAGATAAGTCACGTATTCCCGCACAATCTGGGGAAGGGGCAACTTCAGTCACAGCCATCAGAGGCCCTTGCCTTTCTCTGAACATCAGAGGTCAGGACATGAGCTTTGTCCATGGAGCCATCTTACCTGAGCATAGATCTTCTGTTCCTGCTCTTGCTTGAGGGGAACATCAAACTCTGGCTGGTCTATCTGGACACAAGAGATACTGGAGAGAAGTAGGGAGCATGGAGGAAGGAGAGGACAGGTGTGGGGAGAAGGGGAATATACCACAGAAGATGGCCTCAGGACACAGAGAAGGAGCAAAGAGGACAAAGAAAGGGAGGGGTTTGGGCCAGGAAGCATGGGGGGAAAGAGTCTAGACATAGAAATGTCAAGACAGAGTGGGTATTTCAACCAGTTTAGGGGTGTTCAGCAAGAGAGAAGCATACTAATCCATGTCCTGAAGGAAGCCATCCCCTGTACTAGAGCCAGGTCTAGAGTTAAGGGAATGAGAAACTGTCTCAGGCACAAGATTTAAGAGGTACTGAAAATGGTAATCAAGATAAATATTCTAATTGGTGTTTTTTAAATAAAAATCAATGCTAAAATCTATGCTGACTAAAAGATCAAATCTTTGTTCATCACAGATTTTTTCCTGAAAATCTAAAATGTGTTTTTTATCCATTTTGAAGAAAAATTAAAGATTTTTTTTTAAAGTCTGCAATAAGATTTTTGGTCCATTTTGTGAAGAAATAATCTCTTCAAAAAATCCGCAATGAACAAAAATTTGCTATTTTGTATATCATGGATTTTTGCATTGGTTTTGATTTTTTTTAATTATTAAAATATTTACTTTGATTGCTGTTTTTGCTAACCTCTTTGATTTTGTGCACAGGTAAGTGCCTCACTTACCTCATCTGTCCTCACCTTAGTCCTGGCATGTCCTTGATTCTGTTCTGAAGACCTTTGCTCCCACACTTTGCCTTTTTTTGCTCCAACTTCAATATCCCGCTCCCACTTCAAGCTTTCCCCATCTTGAAAAATCTTTCACATGGCTCCTTTGTCACATTTATGTCCACATTTTGAAGAACTAAAAGTCATCTCTGTCCCTGCTTCAACTCCCTTACCTTCCTTTTAAACTCTGTATAATCTGTCCATTTCTAAAACCGTTTTGATATTCTCTTCAAGAAGCTTCCCAATGGTGTCTTCTCATTCTTCATTCTCTGAGGTCAGAAATCTCTGGAACCCATGACGATCCGTCCCTCCTGAGATGCTCCTCCCCTGTCCTCTGTACCTCAGCCATGCTGATCTGACTCCTCCTCCCTGCCCCCAGACCCCCATGGGGGTGATCCCTCCGCAGTCAATTCTACCCATTTTTCCCCTCAGAGTCCATCCAGTCTCCAGTTGATGGTAACCATCCTCCTCCCACTCACAGCACATCAAAACTGTGGGGTCATTTTCCAGTTTCTCCATTTTCTGCATTTACATTCAGTCAGTCACCAAGTCCTCTAGAAGCACCAGGGACCATCACCACGGGGATGAAGTTGCCTAAATCTTCATGCCTGGCCTTTCCTTTCCATTTCAATTCCTCACAATCATCTTAGTTCAGAACCTACAAATTGTTCCTCTAGACTCCTCAACATCTCTAGGTTGACCTCTGAAATCACTGTCTCTGCTTAAGTACAATGCACAGCCCTGATATTTGAGAGGACCCAGCAGCATTTTGTTTTGTTTTGTTTTTTCTATTAAGTCAAAGTGATCGCCTCCATCTGACTTCTGAGGCCGGGAATCATCAGGCCCAAACTCAAGTCTTCAGTCTTGCTCTTATCTATCTCCCACCACACCTCACCCCTCCCCCAAACCCTCTGTTCCACAAATCAGCCTTCTCACTGACCCCACAGAGGAGTCACACCATTCAGCCTCTTCTCTTAGCTCAGGACTTTCCCAAAGCCCTCCTGATGCCCTTAGCTTCACCTTCACCTATGTGATTGAACCATGTTTCAAGTCTCAGCTCACATTCTCCCCTTTTTGGGACATTCCTTACCCACTGCAGATCTTAACTGCTCCTTAAAGGCCACACAGGTTAAACTCCTGAGCATACCCTTTAGAACAGAAATTTAGAATGCCTCATACTGGTTAATGACAGCTTTTCTTATATATTCATCCCCACATAATTCTGTGGAATTTGTGAGAGCAGGAGTCAAATAGATTGCATTGCCCACCACAATATTGATACCTTCAACATTTTTATTTATTTACTTGTTTAGAAAGCACCTGTTGTGGGTCTCTGGCTGCCAGGCCTTCTACTAGATTCTGGGGAACAGAAATGAACAAGTTGTGGTCCTGTTCTTCAGGGGTTCATGGTCTTTAACATGGTGTTCAATGATGAGAGTTTGGGAAGTGGAAGGACAAAGGGGTCTACCTAACTCATAACTAGGGTGTCAGTGAAGTCTGCCTGGAAGAGATAAAGATCAAATCCCATGTTTTAAAAAAAAGTGAGTTTTGTAGGCTGAGCTTGAGGGGTTGGGGAGTAGTGTTGCAAGCAAAGGAGTCATCTATTCAAAGAATTGAGGAATAGTCCTGAAGCTGTAAGTTAGCATGGCTGGAGGTTTAAGGGGGACAAGGCTGGAGAAGTGTGTAAGGGTCAGATCATAAAAGGACTTGCAAGGTTTTGTTAAGGATTAAGAACTAGATTGTGATGACCCGGTGAGGCATTGGAGGCATGTACACAGAGACAATAGCATAATTAGCTCTTGGTTTAGAAAGATCCCTCTAGCAAGAATGAAGAGCAGATACGAGGAGAGTGATGCTGAAGATAATGTGGTTAACTAAGAGGCTGTAGGGGTAATCCAGATAAGCAGTAAGAAGATAGGAACTATGTCTTGTCTTCTCCCAACTGGCCCTACTACTCCTTTCCCTGATTTCACCTAGTGTCCCTGGTGTCTCATCAATAATTTTCCCTCAAGATAGGGATCTTTCCTACATTGCACATTTGTCCTCTCTCTTCAGCCCACAAACTTCCACTAGGAGATGCTAGGCTATAATACCAAGTGGGCCCAGGTCTTACTGCATTTTTGCCAATGCATCCCTCACCTGGATGACTGGCGAGTATGGAGGGGTGGGACGAGGTCGTAGATAGGCTCTGAAGAATGGAAAATAACCATACTGACTCATCAGAAGTCTCAGAGTTCGGTTAAAGTCTAAGGAAGTCCAATTACCGGAGATTCGCCAGCCTCCAAGCTGGGAAGCAGAGAGACAGGGCTCAGTATAGGGTGATAGCCTGGGAGACCTGCCGCCCCCTTCCTCAGACACCTGCTACTTCTCACCACTACTCTGAGTGCTTGGAGCCCTTGAGGCTCCACCTCTATCCTTCTTTCTCTACCACACCCAGGTCCTCATGCTTCCGAAGGGTATTGCTATTTCCATCTCCCTCCTGGAACTTGGAGATCCCTAGGAAAGAGACCCCCCTCCCTTTCTAGAAAAAAAAAAAAAAAACGGGGAGCAGCCCTGAGCATACCTTGGTCCTATGTGTTTTGTATCTAGAAATGTTAACGTCCTGGGTCTCACCTCCTCAATGACTTGTCTGAGGGGGGCAGCCCCAACAGCTTCGATGGCATCTGTGTCCATGCAGGACCTGTAGAACTGGAAGGCTTTCTCCTCTCCAGAGCCCAGGTGCCAGGAACCTGGGGCTTCTAGAAAGGAAGCATGAGAAAATTAGAGGAGTAGAGAGCTGAGAAGGGGGTCAAGAAAGGGGACTCCCAGGGAAATGGAAGGAAGGGGAGGAACACTGGGATGTGGACAGGTGGGATGATGGGAGGGCTGGATTGGCTCGGTGGGAGAGCAGGTGCAGGGAGAGGGAGTGTGGGGAAGACTGAGAAAAATAAAGGAGACACTAAAGAGAATCAGGGAGGAAAAGACACAGGAAAGAAGGAAGAGACAAGAACACCTAGGAGCACCTATGGGTACAGGAGAAAGGATGCAAAGGGAAAGCAGGAAGGAGGTGAGTGAAGAGATTAGAAAAATTGGGAAACCAAAGAACATTGAGGGATTAGAGGGAGGGAAATCATCTGGAAAGTTTTAATAAGGAGACAAAACAGGGTCCAGGCCCTCACTTGGGACCCCAGGAAACAAGCAAACATATGGCAACAACCCAAAGACATATTTTTGGAATCAGCCACTCTGTAATACCTGCTGCCTGTCCCTCAGCCCCCGATACCCTTCACTCTCTTGTGGGCAATAGCATTCATCCTGAGCGTACATTTTCTTTTCATCTCTGGGCCTTAACTGGAAGCATGGCCCCTCTACCAAGGGAAGGCCAGCCTCCATTCTTTCTCCATCAATAGGAGGGCAGAGGGATATATTCACGTGTCCCAAATTCCAGGGGATACAGCCCACACTCCCTCGGCCACCTTACACTGGAAATGCCTGCTTTCTGTGCCCCATCTTATTCCCCATCTTCACCACCATCCCCCAACTTTCAACCTCCCAGATGGCCGCAGCTCCTTTCCCAGACTTCTCCTGTCAGTCTTTTGTCTTCTCCACACATAGCCTCTTCTCTACCCCTGGGGCTTTAGGTGGGTCCTCTCCTCTACACCCTTTGTACCTCTCTGGATCCATTCCCTGACACACAGCGAGATACTACCCTCCCCACACACACACTTCTCACCCCACTGGCCACATTATCCCATCCGGCCAGCCCCAGGATCCCCCTTTTTCCAGGTGGGCTTTCACACCAAGGTCCAAGGTTTCCATGGAGAACAGGAGATAATGGTGAGAGGGGGCCAGGAAGTGCAGGGAAGGAGAGGAAGATACTGACCACTGATGGGGCTCTAGAAGACAGGGTGGGGGGGGGCTGGCGACTGGGAGTGATGGACACATGAGCTTACGTGCAGCAGGTGGTGAGGGGACGCAGGTGGGGAAGGTCCCAGGCATAGGAGAGAAATCGAACATTTAGGGGCAGTAACAAGGGGAGAACTTGAAGAGAATGCAGTAGTCATGGGCAAGCAGGAAAGGGAAGATGATGAACGGGACAGGAGAGAAGGGGGGAGGTACTGAGGAGCAAGCTGCAGTGACAGAGAAGCCACCAGCTGTCCCACAAGCACACAGGTTTGGGACAAGATAGTAATAGGCTCAGAGCCACCCACTTTGCCCAAAGGGCCTCACCCAGTATTCTCCGAAGTCGGCTCTTATTCTCCTCTGCAAGAGCCTGGAAAGAATAATCGGTCCCTTTGGCCTGTCCACAGGCAAAGCTGAAGAAATCGGTGCAGGGGGCCACACTGGTGTTTCCAGAGGCCAGGTAACGAGCCAGGAGATCCCAACACACAGGAGTCGTACAGGGGCCTGTGGGGAAACGCTCAGAACTGGGAGAGGGAGAGAGGGAAAGAGAAAGGGACAGGGCTCCCCCAAGGGGCTAGGTAAAGGAATGCCTGGTGAAGAAAGGGGAGAGGGACCCTGTGAGGAAGCCAAGACCAGGAGCAGATGGGGAGGAAGAAGTTGGGAAGTGGGGAGAGAGGAGTGGGTCAGGTAGGGTAAGTGGTGAGTAAGTCCAAGGGCACAAAGCCTCGGGGTTGCCAGGCAGGCAGAGGCTTCCCCCTGATGAGGAAGGGCTGACTAGGTTGGGGGCTTCCAGGATCATGCTTACGAGGGCCACAGCTCCGGAAGATGTACACCAAAAGCACAGAGAAACCAAGGAGCACACTGAAAAGCAGGCCAGCCATTAGCACCCTCTTGACCACGGACCACTGTCCACTGGGTTCAGTGGCAGTGGGCAGACTTTCTTCTGGAGATCTCTGTACAGGCAACCAGGAAGTGAAAACCACAAGATGGAGGGCATTGGGAGAGAGGGGTGAGGAAGAGAAAGGGGAGAGGAAAGAGAAAGGAAAAGTTAGTGCCAGGGCCCCTTTGGAGAGAGATCATTCTCCTCACTCTCCCTAAACCCAGCCCTATTTGGACCCCTGGGAGATGCACAAACGAGAAATGCCACCTGTTCTGGGTAAGAACCAAGTAGGCTGTGAAGGGTTAGAGTTTGTGGGATGTCAGAGCTGGAAGGGATGTCATTCATCTGCCCCACAAGGGTCAAGGAGGGCACTTACCTCCTGGTTCCGGGGAGGTCTCATTCCACCTGCCCGGCTCATTCCCCCGGCCCGGGTTCTTCCCCACTCTGGTCTCCACCCTCCTGAACTGAGGAGGATGGAGGGGAGAGAAGCTAGTTCAGGAAGGGGGTGCATTAAAGAGAGTTATATCAGGTCGTTTTGACGCTTCCTGTCACACAGGCGCTATCATCCAGGGCAGTGTTCCCAGAAGGGCTTCGGAGCGGGCCCCTCCCCTGGATGCGCCCCTGCTTTCCTCCCTCTCCAGATACCTCCCTCTCCTTTCCAGTTTCTGCTCTCCAAGCCTCATGTTCCCTCCTTTCTCCTGTGGGGCACAGCACTCGCACACAGGGCCATCCACCCCCACCCTGGCCATCTGACCCCAGAAGGGAACAGTTTTCTCCAGGGGACTTGCCCTCTCTCAGTCCTCTCTGGCTCCCAGAAGCTTCCTGGTTCTGCTCTAAGTGCTGAGTCTGAAAACAGGTTCAGGAAAATGGCCTCCCTCCTACCCCCACCCCAGTTCATTTGTTCTGGAGAGGTGGAACTTCTGCCGCTTGACTCTCCTGTCCCCATACTCATGCTATTGGCCTCTGGGTGGAGTCTGTTTATCAGCCCAGAGACACCCACACCTCTCCTCCTCCTTTATCTCAGCTTCTCAGGGGGAGGTGAAGGGAGGGAGTCTTCACTCCAGAAGCAATCTTGCTCTTGGGTGGCTCCTCTTGTCCTGGTCTATGCCTTTGCTCAAGGAGGTTTTTTATTTCTGGAATATTATTTCTTCACTCCTTTCTCCTATGATTGAAATCTCCTGGATCCTTCAATTCTCAGGTAAATGCCACCTTGGCCAGGAGCTCTCACAGCTCCTGGGAATGTTTGATGGCTCTCAGGGTATGTCAGAACTCTGCTGTTTGCAGGCAGAGCAGTGCACAGCCAGGAGACCCTGATCTGCTAATTATTAGCCCTGTGACAATAAACAAGCCACTTAAATTCTCAAGCAGGTAAGAAAGTTTTATCATCTAGAAAATGAGTCTAATATTTGCCTTGCCCACCTCACGGGAGCTCATACCGTCTGCAAAGAATGAGGCATTACTGAGTCTTTCATTCTCTGTTGTCTCCCACAGGTGGTTGCATCTTCATCTCCCTAGTGACTGAAAATCTTTAGTGGCAGGGACGGTGTCCCTTTTTCTTTCATGTCTACCTAAGATGGTTTATAGATATTTATAGGAATGAATTGCATTCCAAGCCAGAAACTCTCTCTCCCACATTACATCGAGGACTTCCCCTGCGGTCACAGTGAGCTCATTTCTGAGAGACGGTATTTCACGTCTGTCACCTGTTTTCCCATCCCAGGCAAGATAGGATAGTCACACTAACGATACCTCTGCAGTATTTCCTGCCCACATCAGTGTTGTGTTATGGTGCATTGGTTCGGATGGGGGTAAGTCTCCCCGTCTGTGGTTAGTGAAGTGGAAAAAGCCAGCATGCCGATGGAGTCAGGAAAGTCATGAAGAAAAGTTAGCACTTTGGGCACCACAAAAGGAGAGATTGAAGTCTTCTGAGGACAACTCTAACGTGACAAAAATAGTAGCTGTGTAAAGCTGGCGCGGGACTGGGGATCTGGACTGATGAGATGAGAGACAAGAGACACATTGGTACTTGGGTGGTACAAGAATAATGAAGTGAAGGCTTGGCCCAGGTTGATGGTAGAGGGGATATAAATACATGGACAGAAAAATTTTATGGGAGGGAACAATGTCATGGAAGCTGATGCAGTCAGGGAGGAGGGAGTGGGTATAACAGTCACAGGTGGGCTTCATAATTTGTTTCTGGATGACCAGGAAAACGGCAATGCCAATGGCAGAAAGTGGAATCGTGGTTAAGGGCTGCTGTAGGAATCATCTTGAGACCAAAATGATGACTTGGGATTTTAGAGGTTTTTGGTCTGTTTGGATACAAATCGGTTGTACCTTCTTTTTGTACCTTCTTCTTCCCTTCCCTAGATGATCAACCTTGAACTTCTAGCTTCCCTGACTCCATTCCCCTCCCCATTCCTTTCCTACCCAGTCAAGCCATCTGGGCTGAAGTTTCTCTAGGAAAATGGTAGTAGGGACAATTCAGATTAGATAAGAGCTGGTTGAGGCACAAATGTGCTTTGTTACATGAGCCCCGTGAATAGGCACTGTGGCCTGGACTTAGTGTCTCTCCTAGAAAAGCTGAGCCAACCAAGAAGATATGGCAACACGGTTGCCAGCCTGCCCCTCCCCACCCTGCTGCCTCCTAGAGGCAAAGCCGTCTCTGTTCTGGGAGCTGCCTCAGGAGCATAACCCCCTTATCTCCCACATCCTACTGTGCAGTGAGTCATCACCACCACCTCCACCACCGCCACTGCCAGGCCCCCGCACCCCACACACCTCCAGTGCAGCAGTCACAATTGCTGTAGGCATCCAGAGAGCCCCAGCTAACAAGGGTAGCAACCACAGGCTCATGGAGCAGGCATATCTTGGCAGCTACTACCTCCTGGTTGCCCTCAGTGTTCGGCGAGGTCTGTTCGAATTCCAGGATCTTTTGTTTGATACCATAGTAATATCAAATAATAATAATAATAATAATAATAATAGTATCTACTTTTTATTGAGCACTGCCTATGTGCCAGAGGTTCCAATAAATGCTTTGCTCACATACATGTTTTCCATTCAGTCTTCAATTCTATGAGGAAAGTAAGACCTCTTTTTCTTACTCTACAGATGAGAAGACTGGGATACATGGAAGTATAGTACATTTGCCCCAAGTTATAAAATCAATAACCAGCAGAGCTGGGGCCAAAGCAAAACCTTCACTGTTGAGGTCCTCGGTCATTACATTTCTATTTTTTTGGAAGGCTCTTCCTCGTCAGGATCTTCTTCTGTCTAAACTCTTTCAACTATTCTTCATGGCTTGACCTTGTTATGACTGCGTTGGGGCTGTTACTCTTCAGACTCTCAAACATCCATTTCACCTTTTGAAGATCATGTCATTATTGTTGTCCAAAACCAACTCACATCGACAGTGCTAAAAGCATCAAAATTAAGGATGGGACATTTACATACATATCATAGCACTCTCAAGTATGTACATAAGTGACAATTTACCTCTCAGACTACTTGACTTCAGTGATAACAACTAAGAAATTTCTTTCTAAGGAGCAATAAATCCCATCCTGAGTGAACCTGAGTAAGCCTTGATGTCACAGACAATGATGAGCAGCCTGACCAGAGGAGGGAGAAACCAATCACTGGGTCAGAGTTGAGGACATTCTAACTGCTTTTTCAAAGGGAGCCACATTGAGAGTTAGGGATCACCTTTAGGAAAGAATAATGTATGGTTTTTGAAACAATTTAAGTGACAAGTTAAATTGTCTAGATGGACTACTTTTAATATTTTAATTTCCATATATACTTTCTCTTTTATAGATCCAATACTAGAATACATAATGCCTATTGAATTAGGTTATCAAATAAATAAAACATATATATGTATATTTAAAAGATAATAAAATAAATAATATATATATATATATATATATATGTATGTATATTTAAAAGATAATAGTTGGGTTGGTGTTGAACATGGCAAAAACTTGAAGGTAATGTAATGCCCCAGAGACTGATGTTTGCGTGTCAACTGTGTCTCAAAAGGAAGATCCTTGTCCTTTATTTTCTAGTATTTTTCCAAGCCACCACTCCCTTCTTTATATATGTGTAGCAAATCATCCCATTGTATAACTTAAACTTACACAATGTTGTATGCTAATTATATCTCAATGAAGCTCGTGGAGGTTGCTGGGAGAAGATCACCCTTACCAAGGTGGGTGGACATCATCCAATCTGCCATATGCTCAAACAGAACAAAAAGATAGGGGAAGGACAAATTTGCTGCCTTTGCTTGAGCTGAGACTGGTGCTCCTCATTCTCAGGCCTTGGACCAAAAGCACAATGATTAAAAGGAAGAATTAACAAATTGGATTTCATCAAAATTAAAAATTTTCACTGTGCAACAAATCTTGTTAAGGGAACAAAAAGAGAAACTACAGACCAGGAAAAAATATTTGCAAACTGCATATCCAACAAAGGACCAGTATCTAAAACATATATATTTTTAAAAACCTCTCAAAACTCCGTATTAAAAAGGCTAACAATCCAACTAGGACATGGGTGGTAGACTGTAAGAGGTATTTCCAAAATGGATATAAAGATGGCAAATAAACACATTGGAAAATGTTCATCATTAGCCATTAGAGAATGAGTTTTAATGAGAATTAAAACTTGAATGAGATATCACTACTACATATCAGAATGCATTAAAAAAAATATTGGCAACCAAGTTCTATGGGGGTGCTCAGAGAAACTGGATCACTCATACATTGTTTGTGGTAATTAAAATGGTACAACTATTCTGGAAACTATTTGGCAGTTTCTTAAAAACTAAATAAGCTACTACTGTATTATCCATCAACTATACTCCTGAGTGTGCATCCCAAAGAAATAGTTATGTTTATGTAAAACCATACACAAATATCTGTAGCAGCTTTATTCATAATAAACAAACTGAAAACAACTCAGACGTCCTTCAGTGGGTGGATAGTTAAATCATGGTAACTGATACCATGGAGTATTACTCAGCAATAAAAAGGAACAAAGTAACAATACATGTGACAACCTGGATGAATCATATGCGGTGTGGAAAAAAGCCAATCCCAAGAGATTACATACTTAATTATTCCTTTTATATAACAAAGTTTACGTGCCAAAATTATAGAAATGGAGAACAAATTAGTGGTTGGCAGGGGATAAGGAAGGGCAGAAATAGGATGGAAGTCAGCATGGCTATAAAAGAGAAACATGAAGGAGTCTTGTGGAAATGTTCTGGATGTTAATCATATCGATATCATTTTAATGCCAGTATCCTGAATGTGGGGCACCTGCCTGGCTCAGTTGGAAGAGTATGACTCTTGATCTTGGGGTCATGAGTTTGAACCCCATATTGGGTATAGAGATACCTTAAATAAATAAATATTACAAAAAATATCCTGCTTGTGAAATTGTGCTACAATTTTGTAAGACGTTACCATTAGAGGAAACAGTAAAGGGTACATAGGTCTCTCATATTTCTCCTTACAACTGCCTGTGGGTCTTCAAGTATCTCAAAATAAAAAAAAATTAAAAATGATTATTAAGTTAAAAGATAAGTTCTATAATTGTCCCATAGAATGAACTGACTAATGTATTAGTCTAATTCTTTATTGCAAGCAACAGAATCTATTCTGGATAACTTACTCAGTAAGGGAATCTCTTCAATGATATTTGGAATTTCACAAATTCCGATGGGATGGGCAGAGAGACAGAATCAAAGGCTTTGCAGCAAAAACAAAAACAAAACAGAACCACACCATGCTCTGGCCAACGTAAGTCTCCGCAGCCACTGCTGTGCAGCCCCTGTGGCTCCCGTTGACGATGCTGGTGAACGGACAACAGAAGTTCTGGCACTACATTTGCCCCAGGTAGATCTGCACTATTTCTCCTATTTTTCACTTTGCAGCTGATGTCTGGTGCAGGTGTTTCTGATTAGTAAAACCTAGATCATAGCCCGTGCCAAACTACAGGTGAGTCTGGGAGAGCACCGCCTGGCTTCTAACCTGGAGAAGTGGGATTTATAAAATGGGAAATTCCCCAAATCTAGAAAGGTGTGCTGAAAAGATCTTTTTGTCAGTCACAAACATGACGAATATCCACCATAAGTATAATGGCATATTTTGCAAACAACAAATAATTTACTTTTTGAAAATTTAAAGA